CCCATAAATAGCATCATAAGACTCAAACAACAGACTCGGTCTTATGGTGCTATTTATGGGACTGAGTTTGTTGCAGCTCCTCAGACTGAAGAAGTCTTTTGGATAAAAGATGAAACATTTCAACAAGGTAAATCTGTCCAGGTCTTTTTACTTTGTTAGATACTTCAAGTATACGTTCAAATCTTTACATTCATTACAATATTTCAAAATAAAACATCCTCAGCTGCACACATTTCATTGAGGCTTTTACTTTGTCTTGTAAATGTTTTTGATCTTTATTAATCCGATACAAACCAAGCTTGTGATGTACGAAAACCAGTAGCTCCGCCCACTTCATGGCCTCCTTTAAAAATATTTATTGTCCTCTTTGAGCTTCCGTACTTCAGCTCCTGATTGGCATGAGAGCTGGTCTGAGGTCAGTCAGGCTCAGACAACAAACATGAAGGTGGCGTGTCTGCCTTGACTGCCAGCAGCATCAGCTAATCACAAGCTCTTCTTCTCAGATAAATAAAATAAACGTTACTGTGAGCTCCGAACCAGGAAGAAGGCAAAAACTGGAAACAGACTGGGGGCGGAGCTTTCATCTACTAAACACCTGAGTAGAGACAACCTGCTAACACCCTGACTATAACATCACTTCCTGTGGCTCCAAGGCCTGCACAGGAAGCAGTCTTTGTGCATCAACAGACCAGCATCGAGAAGGGGAGGCAGGTGAAGTGGGCGGGGCCTGGTCTCAGATGTAGAACTGGTAATTGGCCAGGCTGTCCATGAAGGGCTGGACCAGGAAGTCGGTGGAGAAGTAGAAGATGAGGCCGAAGGTGATGGAGATGGGCAGCGCCGGCAGGGCCTTCTTAAAGATGGCCAGGAGCAGCAGAGTTAGGCACAGGCCCTGGGATGAAACAGGGACAGTTAGAGACACGGGAGGGACAGACAGGTAAAGGACAGGTGCTAAAGACACAACTGTGTCGTCCTCCAACAGGACTTACAATGAGGATGGCGACGAAGCAGGCAATGGTGGTGTTCCAGTCTCCACCCGTCGCCGCAGCTTTCCCAACCAGAACACTGTAGAAGATGAAGTCGCCAAGGCCCAGCTTCACCCCACCTGAACACACACACACGTCACACACACACACCTGATGACCTCTGACCCCTGCACAGACTGCACTCACGCTCCTCCTCCAGCTCCTCTTCTGAAAGGGTCCTCAGCTGTTGACCCTGAGGCTCCGCCCTCCTCTTGTGTTGCTCTGCCTCCTCATCTGAAACTGGAAATGTGTCATTAGGTTAAATTAACACACAGGAAACAAGGTCAAAGGTCAGTGATGTCAGACCTGCTTCAGTGCGCTGAGCGTCCGTAGAGTTCGCCATCGTCACCGTCCACATCATGGCAGCTGCTCGCACACCAAACGACAGACAACATTAGTCTGAGGCTCCGCCTCTGCTGGTGAAGCTCTGTCTACTTTAGGACTGATCCTCTGACAGAGTCTGATTATTGATGGACTCACAGGAGTAGATGAGGGCGGGGAAGATGGGCTCGTTGCGCTCCTGAGCCGTTTCCACCAACATCCTGAGCGGTCCTTTAGGACTGAGGACAGCCACCAGGTCTGTAAGGGCAGAGCAAGGCATGCTGGGAAATCAGCTGATCAGAAACATGCGGACGTCCGTCATAATATCTGAAACAAAGCCTCCGACTCCCATCGTGAGGGAGGACCTACCGTAGACAGAGATGGCTCCCAGGATGACCCAGGCTGACCACTCGGGGAGGTACTTGATGAAGACCAGTGCCATGAGAGCGCTGATCAGGATCAGGTAGGCCTGCTGCAGCTGCAAGGGCCCCTTCCAGTGGATGCAGATCATCCCGACGGCCCCAAAGTTCCAGATGATCATGGCCACTGTTGGGTAGTCCACCGCCACGTTGTACGTCTTAAACACCTCACTGACAGGACACAGAACTCCCGTGATGCACCTGAACCGACGCCATGCTGGCTCAACTAAAACAGGTTCTTAAACCGATTTATCTCTCTTTACCCCCCAACCCCTTAAAGCATCCCCTTCAAACTGTGTTTTTTTTCCCCAGGAGAGCAGGACTCACCCCAGATACATGAAGCTGAACCAGAAGAGCAGCATGAGAGACGACAGAATGAGCCAGCCGTGGATAAACTAAGCAACAACAGGCATCAATCACAAACGGTCCAAAGCAAACACCACAAACTTCCTGCTATAGGAGGAGGGGTCTAAACAGACAGGGAGGGGTCTGAACTGAAGAAGTTTAAACAGAAGGACAGGACATAACATGAGAAATCTGATAGGGGTAAGAGGAGTGGGAGGGACCATAACAGGAGGCGGGGCTAACCCTGTAGCAGCGGTACTTGTAAAGGACCACCAGCAGGATGGTCATGACCACGATGACGCTGATCATGATGATGGTGTTGAGGACAGAGTTGAGGAGTCGGCGGCCAACATTTGGCGTGTCCTCGGTGAACGGCGTGTAGATCCTGTGGAGGCAAACGTCACGGTTAGCTGTGAGCTCAAGAAGATGTGGTGCGGTGGCCATGTTGACCTACAGCTGCTGGTTGGTCTTCTCAGAGTAGAAGCTGACTGACTTGATGGTGGCAACCACCACCACCATGCAGAGGGTGACGGGGATGAACAGCATGATGACGTGCTTCGCTCCATACTTCAGAGGCAGCTCCTCCTCGTCGGCATCCACCTCCTGATCAGATGCCCCACCGTCCAGGCCTGGACGGTTCCGCCTGCTGATCCCCTCCTGCACCAACAGAGGGCGGCGTTAGTCAGATTCTACAGTTTGGATTTTGATCTAGTCCAAACGACCACAAAGAGTGTTGAAAACATAAAAACGTTCAAATATTTTGTCTATGTTCCTCTCTCCTCCTGAAGGAGGTGTGACCTCATCATACAGACAAATGAAAGACCTGTTCTGTCCAGTGATTGACACCTTAAAGATCCAGTGACCACAGAGCGGGTCCAGAAACAATCAGAACAAACGCTCAACCTGACCTGACAAAACCAACAGGTTTACTCAGAACGAGTTTAATCAGACATTCATTTAAACTCACTCTTTTTCCTGAGGACAATGATCCTCAGCCGAGGGGACGTCTCTTTGTCCTGAGACGTCCCCTCAGCCCAGCAGGATGTCCTGCAGCTCGGCTCTGGACAGACCGACTTTCATACGTTTGTGAACCAAAGGAGTCCAAACTGGAGACGGCCTGAGCAAAAACTGATTTAGTTCCTGAAGACGACGACGTGTTTTTGACGGCCAGGCTGAAGGAGAACCAGTGCAGGTCTTAGAGACGACCCTGAACAACCCGCAGCACTGGACTCAGACCGCCCGGCTCCAAACCAAGGATCAGATTAAAACAGAAGAAGTGACGTTAGTCGTCATCACTCCAACAAACTGTTCCTGAAACACGGCAGGAGCAACGAGACGGACTGCAGCTGCTTCAGGGAGACAGAGAGCTGTCCTCCCACACTGTCCTGACTCTTTACTGTCCTCATCCTGTCCTGTTCTCACACTGTCCTCCCCATCTGACCCTGTCCTCACTCTTTCATTCAACCTTTATTTAAACAGGTTAGTCCCATTGAGCCACGAGAACTCATTTGCATCCTGTCCTCTGTCCTGACTCTGTCTTCACTCTGTCCTCACAATGTTACTGTCCTCTGTCCTGATTCGGTCCTCACAATGTTACTGTCCTGAGTCTGTCCTCATCTTGTAGAGGGCAAGGTGTCCTGACCCTGTCCTCAGTCCTCACCCTGTCCTCAGTCCTCCTCCCTCCACGTCCTCTCCAACTGTGTTCACATGTCTCCTGTTGTCTTCGGCTCTAGAATAAAACGTCCAGTGGTCAGAGGCAGCTGACGCCATGTTGACAGGAAACACAAACTGTTTGTCAACAAAACAACACTGAGATTAAAGTTTCCTGTAATAATAAAAAAAAGTTTGAATTTAAAGTTTATTTTCTATTAAAACAGGAAGCTGTTAAATTATTGCCCATAACTGAAGCTGGCTGTTAGCAAAATAACTCCTGAACCACTGGATGGGTTAGGTTTGTCTACATGTGATCACTGGTTCAAGATGGCCGCCACAGCCAGGAGCGAACAGCTGATGTTGGAGTGGTGGTAGCTGAGAGTCATTCTGACAGACCCTCTGGACTTTCAGGTCCCTGTTGGGCCAACAGGACCCGACTCTTACCCGTTTGGACTGTTGCTCTGGATTGAGACCTGGGTCGGGTCTGTAGGACGGAACCACGGGACTCTCGGACTGGACCAGAGCCGTCCTCTCGTTGTAGACGTCCTCCTCGCTGTCTGAGGTGTTCATGGCTGCAAACAGAACCGGGTCGGTTCGAACTCTGCTCACAGCCCTGCCCGCTCTGGATTCGGGTCCAGCTGGTGTCCTGGTGTCAACAGAAACCTACTGATTATGACATTTGTTTTAATTTGTCCATCAAACCGACAGAACCCACTTCCAGCAGAAATTAACCTCAACTTTCCCGCCACAAATCACTGCGCGCGAGCCTTTCAGACCGGAAGTGTCCGGAGGAACGAACCTGAACAGAACCGAAGAGGAGGAGGATGAAGAACTGCTGGACTTTATCTCCGTTCGAGCTCCCAGTAAACACCGACAGACCCGGAACAGTCAGCTGACCCGGGCACGTGACAGCAATGACGTCACACCGCCGCCTTTAAACAAACTTTATTGAAACGCATTACAACCTTAAACACAAAGGTGCGTCTGAAATCATTAAAATAAGGTGAAAAAAAAAATCAATATTTTCGGTCTGTCACTTCAAAAAGATAAACTCATTTATTTCATGTGTTCATTAAATTCAGAGTGAAATATTTCAGCCTTTATTTCTTGTAACTTTGATGATTATAATTTACAGATAATAAAAAAACTAAAAGAGGTTCAACTTTGTAAACCCCTGGTGTAACAGCCTCAATCAGCTGATTACAGGTAACACCTAGACATGAGCTACAAATGTCTCATTCCTGCAGCCACTCCTGAACCAAAGACAACATCAGAAGTGTCTTACCTGCTGAGGAGACAAAGAACTGGACTGTTGCTCAGTGGTCCAATGTCCTCTTTTGACACGAAAGATTTATAAATCAAGATCCCAGAGTCTGGATGAGAGGAGAGGTCCAGAATCCAAGTTGTTCAAGTCCAGAGTGAAGTTTCTTCAGTCAATGATGGTTTGGGTCCATGTCCTCTGCTGGTGTTGGTCCACTGTGTTTTCTGAAGTCCACAATTAACACAGCATCTACCAGGACATTTTAGAGACTCCATGCTGCCTTCAGCTGACGAGCTTTATGGAGATGCTGATTTCATTTTCCAGCAGGACTCGGCTCCTTCATGCACACGCTGCTAAAGTTACCAAAAGCTTGTTCTGGAAAATTCTCATTTTCTGAGACATTGAGTTTTAGGTTTTCATTATTTGTAAGTTACAATCATCAAAATGTCAAGAAGTAAAGGCTGAAATATTTCACTCTATGTGTAAGATAAGAGTTTCACTTTCTGAAGGGATTGATAAGAAAAACAAATTTTCCATCATGTTTTAATTTCTTTAATGTTTAAGTTGTTTTTTTTTAGCTGTACCTGCTCTGACACATGAAGTCTGTTGATGGAGGTTATGCTTATCACACGCCACCTTTCATGTCTGTTAAAATCCTGTCGTGTTGAGAAATGACCTCAAACCTAGACAGTCTCGTGATCGTAACCTGTTGGCCCCTCAGTGCACGTGTCAGCGATGACTCTCAGCTACTATTGTGGCAGCCGGCCTGAATTCGGTTGACTCCAAATGGGATCTAGCTGCAGACGAAAATGAAATGATTACTTCCTGAAAGTTTCATTAAAATCCATCCAGTGGTCCAGGAGATATTTTGCTAACAGACGGTTTTGTTAGTTTTTGTGTTTTAGGATTGATTTTGAGGGTTTAGTTTTGTTTTTACCGTTGCCCACTCCTCTTCGGTAAGCCCCGCCCACTTTCACCTGCTCCTAGTCTGCCCAGGTGTCTCTGCTTCATCATGGGCCCTGTCTTGTTTCCACCCACTGGCATAGCGTTGATGGTTCTGGTGTCAGTCCGGTCTCCCTCCTTCTGTAAGTTTTTAGTATTGTCTTAGAATAAATAATTCATTTTTCAGCTCCTGGTGTCATCTGAATGAGGTCAAAGGTCACTTCTGAAAAGATTGAAACGCAGGAGGAGGAGCCCAAGTTCAAAGAAAATCTTGATCCGCTCTAGAAGATGTTTATAAACACGATTTCACTGAAACTAAACCAAAGTTGATGGTTTTTTTTTTATTCTGAGGACGACAGATTTAGACACGTCCACACTCACTGAATTTTATTATTTTAAACATTCAGACAACTCATGTTTACATCATCAGACAAATATTACTTATGACCCGATGGACGCCGGTTAGAGGTGGAACACGTTCCACTCGTCTCAGCGGCGTCACATGGCTCAGACAACAACAACCAAACGCTTCGATTAACAAAACCCCAAACTCAGTGCAGATATCCACGGAGGTGCAACTCAGTCACGTTAAACAGCTGCTGGTACCGTCCACGAGGTTCTAGAGTTCATGCACGAAGAAAAGACGAACGTTCCCGTTGAGCGAAAGGAAAAGAGTCATTCAGGTAGACGGGTGTTTTCGAAGAAAGGCGGAGTCTGGGAGGTCACAAACCCTCAGCAGGAAGGGCCTGTCATCAGAATTAGATTCTGGAAACATCAAGGTTCTTCTCAGATATTTAAAAATGCATGAGCCAGGTATCAGAACAGATCGATCCAAGCTAAGAGATCACAGAAAAACCAACCATCAAGATCCTCGTTCAACCAGATGTTATCACTTTGTTCTGGATCAAGATGGTGTGTGAGCCCATTCCAGCTGTCGGGCCTAGAAAACCCAGCAGGGAACATGCAAAACTTATTTTGGTCCAATAAAGTCTTCAGAAATTAGCTGTCAGGAACCAGAGCTTGTTTTTCCTGACACATAATAAGAACCTTCAGAACTCTTTCAGCTGTTTGTGGACAAGCACCAGGAACTCAGCAGAACATTTAAACGTTTCTACAACTCTTACAACGTTTGTCAGGACCCACAAGAGTCCATCAGAGTTTTTATTTATTCTTAGGAAAAACAGAAATCTGTCACATTAAAGTTCTTTTAAAGCTAGAACCATCAGAACCAGTCTCCACCCAACCTCGCAGATAGAACACATTGTAGGAGCCAGGTCCAGCAGACCCAACTGGAGTTTGCTGGAACCTGACAGGGTCCAACAGAGCAGAACTCTTAGAAGCCCTTCACGTGGCAGTAGGCCTCCAGCGATGAGAAGACGATGTACATCAACCACAGGCTGAAGAATAGGCAGGTCGTCAGCATTTTAGGGACTCTCGGACCGCCCAGTTCGCCGCCGATCGAAGGTCTGCGGCGATAAATCAGGACGGCGATGCAGATGAATGCAAAGATGGTGAAGAGCGTGACAGAGAAGGCCAGCGTTCCTGGGTCCACCTTGAACTCCTGCCCCTGGGTGTAGTGGTAGACGGCAGCAATGGACCATGCCACTCCAATTCCCAGGAAGACATTAACGGCGTTGCTTCCTGTCACATTCCCAATAGAAGCGTCGGCGTACTGGTCCTGAATGGCTGCCACTTTACTGGCAAAGGTGTCTGAAAGAGAGACAGTAGAGTGTGGACAGCGTGGTTCAGATTGGACTTGGGTCTGTGGTTTTAGACCCAATTTAAGTTGTTTGTGTTTGTTGCCATGGATAAATCCATGTGCTGGTCGAGTGTCGTGTTTGACGCTCACCTGGAACTGAAGTGCCCAAAGCAACAAACACCACGGCGGTGACGGAGTCTTTGAGGCCGACGGTGCAGCCGAAATGAGATGCCAGGTCGCCGATGACAGCGGTCAGGAGACCAATGACAATGATGGAGACGACGAAGCAGGCCCAGCCATTCCAGTAGTCCGTGGGAGGAACGAAAACGAACAGAAGCTTCCAGAAGATGGTAAGGAAGTGCATGACGTAATCGAAACAGGAGGGCAGCTTTTCCACCCCACATTCACCGTCTTCATCATCACCTGGGGAGGGCAGAGACAAACACCTGAACTCCTTCATGATCTCCTGCCTTAGACAATCTCAGGTAAAACTCGCACCAGAGCTGACGGTGATGGCCTCCATAAACTGCTCCCTCCAGCTGTTCGTCCCGATCACCAGAGCCAGGTTGGTCTTCTTAATGAGTTTGTCCACCATGTTCTGAAATCAGGAAACAACTCCTTATTGTCCTCATGGTGGCATTAAGCCAAGTCCTGTCCCCTGAGGACAGTTTCATTAAGCTAAGTCCTGTCCCCTGAGGACAGTCTCATTAAGCTAAGTCCTGTCCCCTGAGGACGGTTGCATTAAACTAAGTCCCATCCCTGAGGACAGTTTCATTAAGCTAACTCCTGTCCCCTGAGGACAGTCTGAGTAAGCTAAGTCCTGTCCCCTGAAGACAGTTGCATTAAGCTAAGTCCTGTCCCCTGTGGACAGTTGTATTAAGCCAAGTTGTCCTCTGAGGACAATTGTATTCAGTTAA